GTTAATAGTTTTCTTTGAACTTCAAAGAAGATATGTCTACGAGGGGGTACTGTATGAATTTATAGTAAAGGAAAAGCTAAAATATATTGAAAACATCAAACAGTGAACAATGGAGTATTGTGACTAGCTTTTAAATGAGAAGTTAGTAGGTGAACAAATAAAATCATCCCATCTTCCAGAATTTTAGGGCTTAATCCAATAGAGACATGGGGTTGTTACCAACATACACTACCTCGGCTGCAACAGTCACTGTACCATTGTCCCTGTGAAGCAAAAAAGGATCTTTGACAGGTGTCTATGCAAGAAACATGTTCCTGTTCGTGTTTCAGTAGAATGTTAAATTGTCATCATTTTGAATGCTGGAAATTATTACTATCTAAACTATGTGTAGCCATAACCTTGTTGTAGAGCTATGCACTTTGTGAAGTTATTACAAGTGTTTTAAAAAAAAAATCTTGTCATGATTTACCTCCAGCTATTTTGAGTACTGCACTATGTTGAGTATAGTAGGACTTCCAGTGCAGCTATGCTGATTAAAGATCTTGCTATCTATCTCTTACAGAGTGATTTCTCTGGGTGTTCAAAATTACGATAAACTGAAGAAGATCTATGTCAAACATAATCTCTTTTTTTTCATTTAGAAGCCCGTTTGTATGTGTAGAGAGTGAATACAACAACTAGGACTCATGAGTGCAGTGCTGATTAATCTACCAAAATCTAGCACAGTACATTCAGCATCTCCACACTCTGAGTACACCTCTCAGTGCTATCACCACATCTTGGTTAAAGGGCACTAATGATGTTGCACAAGAACAATGAGATGTGGAGAAGCCCTGAACCATCATGCTTAACTGAATACGACTTAGAGGGCCAGAGAAAAGAGCAGAGATGTGAAAAGGTCATCCCCACAGACTGCAAATAACCCTGCTGCAGTGGGCATACATCACACAGAGACTTCAGGGAGAAATGGCTGTCAGTTCAGAGGAGAGACTCTTACCTGGTGGAAGTTCAGGAGGATCATGAAATATCAGTATGCAGTTTTGTTTCATTTGTTCTTTCTCTGATGATGTGTTTGCCTGTTTCTTGAAAGGAATCTGAATGGAGTATAGAAGACTCTGCCATAAGCTTCCTGATGTGGGAGAGATCCTCCAAGACAGAAAGAAAGAACACCAGTAAAAAATATGAAAGAACATAGACTGCAATTTGGTGATGTTTAAATGGGCATCTATGGGTGTAAAGTTCCTTTTTCACCCAATCTGGGGCAGGTGCTATTTTCTGTAGACAATTGCTATTAGCACTAGATTCAGTAAAGAAGGTAGGATGAAGCAAAAGAAACATGCACCATGTACTGAATGAAACCATGGTAGCATGCATGAACGGAATGGTGGGAGTTTTGGTAGCATCCAGGCTCTAACAAAGCTGTAACTTGGAAAGACAAAATATTTAACTTGACTAGACAGGGTTTTTTTTAAAAAACATGCAAAATGTTTCAAGCATTTTTTAAAATAACTTTTAGGTCTAACCTTCTATGGCATTACTGCAATGATAAAACAGGAAATGAAAAGAAGCAGTAGATCGGTCCAGTTTACCAGTCATAACATATTTGTTTGAGGTAAACATTTTTAGGCTCTAGTAAAAACATGGCTCCTGTGAGACTTCTTTTTCTGCACACTTGAAGGTTGTTCCTTTAACAGACTTTGATGAAAACAGCATTTTTCTTGATATTAAATGTACACTTACCTTTTTACTACTTTTTTCTTTATTTAAATATATGTCTCATGCACCATCTTATTTTTTTCTACTCCTTTGATTCAGCTTCTTCTCAGTTATTTGAATTTTGTGATTTGTGATCTTGCCAGTAGTTCTGCAGCTTTTATTTTGTGAGGCAGAAACAACCGTTACTAGGAGAAAAGACCAGTAGTTTTCCATACATAGAGCCCATGAGGGAAAAGGTTAAAAAAACCCCAAACCCCAAACCAAAAAACAGAATATTTGCAAAAGGTAGATTAGGAGTTTATGAACAATATACAATATTACTGTTGGCTAAGAACTGATATTGATATGACTGAGAAGTTCATTGGCAGGTTCTCACGGTATATCCAGGCGGTTGCAGTAGTTAACATTGTGCTAAAAATACACCCTTGAACTTCGTTATAGCAGTGCTGACATGATTTACCAAGACAGCACACACAGCTCTGGCATTCTGTATGGGGTAAATGCAGGCATGTTCTTGAACTCCTGTCAAAGCCCAGTAGGAAAACCTACCAGTGGGTACTTTCCTGTTTTTCTCATTTTTGCTTTTCAAAGACAAGCAAGAAACCCGCAGCCTGACTCTATTGTGTCCCTTAAGTCTGCTTTCCTCTTTTTTTTTTAATTGCCTCTCATAACTATTGCCTTTTATGATATTTTGTACCTTCTCATCTTTGAGAAGTAGTGGGAAAGGAAAGCTCCTTTTTTTTTTCCAAAGTGGCAGGCTGTTAACTCATTCTTTTTGCAGTTAGCCAGACTCTGCAGGCTGTTTGCAGTAAGTGCTTCTGCAGGGCTCTGCTCCTAAGGTGTGGGTATATTCCTAGCTCATCTTCCTCTTCCCTTCTCACTACCCTTGCTTACATGTGATGCTCCCTGCTGGATTGCCCTACATACAGACGGGAAATGCCTTGGGGAAAGTGTTTCCCTCTGTCTTTGTTTGTAAAATGTACAGAACATTTCTGGATGCTTTTGATAAGCAATAAATATTACTGCTTGTGCATAACTTTAGGACACAGACTGTGACCATTTACCATTCAGTACATGTATTATCTGTCTGATGGATGAGCAGGATTTGCACATCAATCCATCAAACCATGAAGATTTGGTCTTATTCCCATTGAAATAAAGCTTACTACTGATGTCAAACAGTGCAGGGTCAGGCGGTACAGACTTAAAAGCGTTCTGCAGCACTGTATTTCAGCTGAATGATCTACTCACATTTATGAAACTCGGTAAACAAATACTCTGTAAAAACAAAAAGCATGAGGGCTCAGTCCTGCAAGGATGAGGGACATGGTTTAGCGGCATGGTGGTGTTGGGTTGACGGTTGGACTCGACGATCTTAGAGGTCTTTTCCAACCTTAATGATTCTATGATTCTATGATTTGAGTGCTTTGGTTTTGACTCAGCAAAGCAGAGAAGTATATACTTAGCTTTAAGCATGTGTTTATTCTCCAGGGTATTCCTATGCACTTTAAGTTAAATACCTGTTTAAGTGCTTTACTGGATCAAGGCCAGGGTATTTTCAGCATCTTTTAGGGTTGAGTTCTTACAGAAGACTTTTTCTCTGAGATCTCAAAGCATTTCACAAAACACACTAAAGACAATTCCTCAAAATAATAAGATGAAATACTGTCATAGGACAGAAAATGATATTGTTCCCCTGGGTGGATAGAGTATTCCCATCCATAACTAAGGCTCCTAGCTTTCTAAATCAGTGACAGAAAAAAAAAAATCTATTTTTGCTCCGTTTACTAAAAGATGCCCTGCTCCAGTAAACACTGAAATGAATGAGTCATGCAATAAAGGCAGACTTTAAAGCAAGCTACAATGATGAAACTCCCTAGCTACAGGGGCTTTGTTGTGTGTTTTGTTTTCTCGTGACTGGATGCAGAGGGATGCGATTTCTTTCTTTAGATGGGAAGAATTAAAAACACTAAAAAGATTAACTAAAGACCATTTATAATAGATGCAGTAAACTGTCTTGAGAGAAAGACAATATAAAAGATAAGGTCCTTGACTGGGATACCGAACTAATAGCAGTAATGTGTGCTAATAATGCACATATATCTCACTCTAAATAATTATGTTATAGCAACATCAAAAGACCCTAAGTTCTTTGTGCAAGCAGTGCAAACACATATGGAGAATTAAAATGTATTTAAAGAAAGTTCTACAGCACATTTGCCCAAGAAAGACAAAACCAAAATAAAAATATATTATTTCTCCTCCTTTCCTAGAAGTCATCCCTCCACCCTCTGGGACTAGTTGTTTGCCACTCTGAAATGTTGGGTTCACCTCAGGAAGCACAATGTGAACCTTTGGGCAGGCCTGGCCACACTCCCTTCTTCCAGTCATGCCCTTTCCCAGCTGCAGAGGATGGGATGTTGTGGAGAAGCTCTGTGCTCAGAAACACCTTAGGAGATCTGCTTGTGGGTACCTGGTCACTCTACCTCTTTCCTTCTGTATCTTTGTCAATCCAAAATAAAGTTTTAAAAAAAAACAACATGAAGAAAACCAATGCTTGAGAAGTCTGTGCAAATAAAAAAAATATGTCTTTGAACCTTCACAGTTTTGTCAAATGGAAATAATATTAACCCAAAATAACATGCATGCCAAATCTTATTCCTTCAGATTATCCAGTAATACTAGAGTTCTGCAACGGCAATCACATATTTATTTTTCATGATGGGAAAGGTATTTTCTTTTCCCATGCATGTCATTATCATTAGAAACAGAACAATTCTGGCTCAGCCACAGCAGAAGTACCTTCATAAAGTAAACATACTAAATTTCAGCCTGAATAATTAATGCTGGAAAAGTTGAAGGTACCTAATAGGACCTCATCAGAAGGAAAATGTTTGAGAAACCTTAATTATCAGTTTCTTAATAAACTGTAGAAAAATAAGCACGTAGGACAGAGAACTTAAACTTCTAAGTTGTCAGCTGTGAATAACAAAAAAGCAGTAACTTATCCTCCCACATTTGTGTCACAAATTCCAACTTGTCCCAAACTGTAAGGGCTGTGCTAGAGGAATCTTGCCCTGTTCAGTTCAGCCAGCCTTTGAAATCACTCCAATTCTCAAGGCTGCCTAATTTTCCTAGTTCTTTTATCCCTTTCCCTCAGGATCCTGTATTGCCTGAGGACAGAGGAGAAGGGGAGTTCTCACCCTTCACCCATCTAGCCCTCAGCTGAAATCACCTCCCAGAGCTGGATGTGGAGGGGGACACTGAGGATAGGGAAGGCGGCAATGGAGCATCACTACCTCCGTCTACCTCCAGCCTCCCTGGTCCTGCCACCGGAACGTACTGATATTCAAAGGTAGAACAGCTCTGCAAATATACCATTCTGGCTTTTATATGGGGATTTCATCAACTGTGGGAGAAATTGTCAAAGGTGTAACAGGCAGGCACGGAAAGTTAGTCAGCCAGAGAGGTTGTTGGCACTACAGAAACCACTCCCTTTGTTGGCACTGCTCAGCTTATATGGCAAGGAAATGGAATGTTCTCTTGCATGGAGGCAATTCTCACTTGCTTTGTTTTCCTCAGTCCAAAATAACAAATCACTACTACACTTTCTCACGCAATTTTGCACATGGAAAAATAAAAAAAAAAATCCTATAAGGGCACTATATTTAAAGATTTCCAGATATCTATGCTGGAGGCATAAAATAGCCAGTGACATTGGTCGTCTATCACTAGAACTATCTGAATAGTGTGCAGGAAATAATAGAAGCAGATACATCCTGAAGAGTAAAGGAGAGCCAGACGCTGCCCAGCTACTCACTGATGCACACTCTCCCTCCTGTCCACTCACTAATGATGTACGGAAGACCACATGGTGAAACTTCACATTCACAAGGAAAACAAGGTTAAATCATAAAACTAAGTTCCAGCATTTTCTATCAAACTACGTTAAGATTTGCAAACTAATTTTGTTAACAGGGATTTTTGTGTGCAGTTTTCAAGGCTGTCTTGGAAAAATAAAATAAAAAGACAACCATCTGGGCTGGCAAAGAAGTAGAATTCTTCCCTTCCCTTCCCTTCCCTTCCCTTCCCTTCCCTTCCCTTTTATTTTTCCTTTTCTATATACTCAAAGCTAATGGGGATATTTGTCCTCTTCGCTTCCCTTCCCTTCCCTTCCCTTCCCTTCCCTTCCCTTCCCTTCCCTTCCCTTCCCTTCCCTTTTATTTTTCCTTTTCTATATACTCAAAGCTAATGGGGATATTTGTCCTTGTATCAGAAACATTTGCTACCAAAGGGGAATGATGAATATCAAAAACCTGGACCCACAAGGGTGAAAGTGTTGAAAGGAGTGTGTTGTGCTGAACACAGGCTGTCTACTCATTATATCAGATATGACGCTGTGAATGGGATTCATCGCAGACATCGCTCTGTAGATAGCTACAGCTAAACTAGTTGTCTAAACCTTCCTAATGGAGAGAGTGGAGAGAAAGAGCAACTTTTTGGGTCGGACCTCCCTATTCCTCAAGCATCCGAAGAAGGTCACAGAACAAGGTCACTGACAACACCGGACAGAGACCTGCAAAGACGTTGTGCTTGTCCTCTGTCTGGAACATGACTGAGGCTGGCAGTGTCTTTGGAAAATGTCTCTGTTGAACTTGAAGATGTCTCTACTGGGCATGACCAAACAGACTTTTTTTACAAAGGTTCAAACCCTGCTTTTGCAATTCAGCAGATTTTTTTCAGAAAAAAGTTGGAAAAAAATTCCGAGTTATGGCAGTATAGTAATTCTGTACCAACAGATATTGATTTAAATTAAAATTAAATTTAAATCAAAAAATTAAAAACTTCGTGTTACATTTCATGTTTATCTGAAAGTAAATGTTAAGATTAATTAGATGTCACTTATTGAGATAAATCAGTTTAGCAGATGACTGAAAATGTTATTGACTAATGGAGCAACCATTCACCATGGATATCGCCTCTGAGTTTGTCTTCTCTTGGTATATGCCAGTGTAACAGAGTTCAGACCTGTGCTGTCTCCAATTTTGCTAATTTTAGCAGGTAATGATTAGAGCAGTAGAATTATATCAACATCCTTTTCTGTTTTAACTCTTGATGTGAATTTGAGACATTTGAATGGTGTGGGATATGTTAAAATGCACAGGTTGTTGATAAATTAAGAATACAGAATTATTTCACTTGTATGTCTCTAATTATTCAAAATGGAAGATAAGCACAGATGTTATTCTAATAAAGTGAGGCAATAGGTTGAACGTGACAGCACCATTCTGGTTGTAGGTCTCCCTCATATTCTGGTTGCATTTTACAAGAGTGAGCCTTGAAAGTCAATGGGAGAGTTCAGGACTGCAGACCCAGAGCAGAGAGAGACATCTGGCAGCCCAGCCCCAGGTTATGCCTTAGACAATGCTGCATTCCCTCAGGAAAGTGCTGAAGCCTTCCCCTTGGTCATCTTCAAATACATCCAAACTACACTGTGCACCGCCAGGGATACAATGACACAGAACTTCAAATAGCCTGCCAGGGTGAAGAAGTGAAGTCATATTAAACCAATGCTTCATTAGGTCAGCAGCATGGCTTAACCTATATAGTGCATTTGGACTAATTTCAGTACCAATGCTAACCCCCTGGCTGCATCAAGATTTTTGGATCAGAGCCATATCACAGTGTTGGAGGGAATCGCTCAGTTGACTCTGCTTCCAGTGTCCTGGTTCACTTTACAGAATAGTTCTGGTGCACAGTAAGTTGATTTCTTTTGCTGGACACAAACTTCTTTACTCCCCATATGCACCTGCTCCTGAAGGAGGCACAAGGGTCTCTGAGCCAGTGACCAGCCCTTCAGACCACTTTGAAACATATGGGAGTGATTAATCCAGGGGACCAGACTAAATCTGGTCCAGAATAAAACCCTATAATTCATTCAATAGAGATTATGGAGCCTCTGCCCCAATCCTTCAACATACTGATGCCCCCAAATTCCTTGCTAATGTAGAGCTAACCATTCAGAGCTAGTCTGGGTGTCTCACCACAGTACTGCACAGTGGGATCAGCCACAAGCAAAGGTGCTTGGAGGTAGTTCTCAGCACCCGAGTCATCAACGTTTCCCACTAACTCAAAGTGGTTCTCTGATGTATATATTCATTTTTGGCAACTCAGTGCAGTGCACTGGCTGTTCTGGATCTCATTCAGATACATTTTAACCTTGTCATGAACAGTACGGTAAGCCTCCGCACCTCCCACAGGACTGGGATTCTGCGGCGGGGAGACCGGGTTACTATGATGCTTAATTGCCAGGTGCCCATAACCTTTCCAGTTTATAGACCACGGTGGCAGGTGGCAAACAATAATCCTGATGTCTTGGAGTACGGGTGGAAGGTAACTCTCCCAGATGTTGATCTTTAAATTCCATAGACAGTGCAATGATTGTGTTATGAAATGTCTAGTAGTGTTGATTCAGGTACAATTACACATATCATAAACAATGTCATAAATTACATCAAAAGAAACAAGACTCTGGAATTTGTGCAGTGTCAGAGCAGATCTTTTAAAAACTGTTTTGTCTTGGTAAATGTATATGATGTATGAGTTGTTACTTCCAAGCGGCTTTTTTTCATTTGCTACTTACATGTATAGAATTTGATCTTTTTCAGTCCATATCTGTTCCACGTGGAAAAGTCCTTTTTCTTTAGTATGTACACATATCTGAATTGTCTGAATTAATTGGAGAAGTGGTCTGAAATCCTACAATAAGGATGAAAAAATATCAAATGCACAAATACTAGATAGAGAAGAGCCAGCAAAGCATGAACACTGCAGAAAAAAGCTTTAGATGTTTTAGCAGTTCACAAAGATCTTAAGAGTGCTGTTGCTGTGAAAAACGGTGAATGAAGTTTCGGATTTCCAGAATGCATTAGTAAGAGTATCATATGGCACTGATCACATGTCAGTTGGAAAGCGCTGGTCAGTTCAGGTCACTACACTTGGGGAAAATACGGGGCATTTGAAAAAAATGCAGAACATAGTTAAGAGGAGGAGTCCAAAGCCTAGAAACTGTGATCTATATGAAAAGAATCCAAAGAACTGGGATCGTATAGCCTAGAAAATAATGGATTAAGGGAGTTTTTGTATAGGTTGCAGTAAAAAAGAGTATATGTGGCTGTTCTCCATGTCTACCAAAGCTAGAAGAAAAAATAATGAGTTTATTTTTCAGAAATGAAGGTATCAGGCAGTTATGAGAAAAACCTTCCTTTTTTTTTAAGACTAGCAGAGAAGAAAGTGCTGAAAGGCTTTAACAGGCTTTAGAAAAGGTAGTAAAATCCCCAGCTCTGGATGATTTTGGCTTAGCCAAGTATCTCTCAGAAGCGGCGTAATCTTACTTGATTAGCAGAGCATATAAAAGGTTCATTTTAGGTCCCTTTCACTCCACATGTCTGTGATTTTTATGATTTGATAAAGTAATGGTAATTAAAACACTAGCTTTTTGCTATGATCTGCCAGATGGATCTCATGCTAAATCACATTCCCTTTGGCATCCTTTTCTCAGCAATACAGAATTTAAACAAGAGCTGACCTATTCAGCATGGTGTGTTTTTGCCTATTTTAAAGGTGAATCTCTTTCTAATAATTTGCTGTTAAATTCTACCAACATAATTCTAACTAACTGCTCCATTTAAATAAGAATAATACATTTATTAGTATTTTTAATATCTCTGAGCTTATTTCCAAAGCAGGAACATTTTCACGATACCTCTGGCATTAGCAGAATAAGGTCCTGGTTGATCCTAAAGGCCATGAGTACATGTTACTGTTTCACAGTGATTGCTGATGTGTCTCTCCTCTCTCTTTCTTTCCCGCTACCATCCCTAGTCACTCATCACTGCCATGAGAGATTTATGCCTCCTCAGCTGCCGGGTGCTTTATTACTGTATCTTGTTTGTTAACACTTGATCATTTTTAATATTGTGGTTTGAGAGTAGCTACGCAAAGAAAATTAGCACTGTCAGGAAGGAGCAGGCACAGATAGCCTTGGTGGGGCAAGGAGTTACTTGCACTAGAAGTGCAGCTCACGATGCAGTAACATTCAGCCATTGCTTTAGACACTAGCAAAACAGTGTGCTGCCTAACAGTGGCAATTTATTCTTTTGCATTTATTTTTTTCCTGAGAAAGTGGTTCCTAGAGGTTCTCTTTTCTCAGTTGCCAGCTAATTTTAAATCTAGTATTTAGTTCAGTTATTGATTGCCAGTGAAACGTTCATTACAATAAATTATGCATTAAGGTTTACATTCACATTTCACTGGATGGGGATTTATACACATAGTGCAGTGACTGATGTGCAAAATGACAATTGATTTAGCTAGCTCTGTGGTGGCCTTCTCTTCTGCATTTAGACTTATGTACATTTCAGAAAACAATTTTATTGCTTGTCACATATTTTATGAGCCTGTCATATTCCTCCAGCACAACACCATTTTGGACATAAGATGACTTTATGCTGGGAAATGAGTCAATTTTTCTTTCGGGATTCTTGAAATGTAGAGATCATGCTACAGACATTGTAGATAGCTTGACAAAATGTCTACACTGACATTATATCTATAAAATGTGCCATATTTTGATGTCCCTAATAAATCACAGAGTACTCTTCTTTTTTTCTCTCTTTTTTATGAGAATACTCATTGAACAATGCAGCTTTGGGATTTGAAGGTGAACTGTAATGAACTGAACTGAGAGTCATCCTAAGTATACAAGCAAACTGAGGAAAAAGAGAATGAGGGATAGCAGTTTAGAATATATTTTTATGGGAAAGGCATGAAAACTTCCTGACCACACACAGTCACACTGGCTCTGGCAATGTCACAGTCTCAAATATTAACTTGCTTATTGTCTTTAAGTATCTCCTGTTGTACTAGGTATTACCTTTGAGTCATTTCTGAAGGAGAAATATGTTAGCGCTGCATCACTTCAGCAGCCGCCTTCTACCTATTCAGGTTGTTAGTTTGAAGCTTTTGAGATCATCTTTTTACCAGTTTAATACATGCTAGGATGTGCAACAAGGGATTTCTTTGTAGAAGGTGACTGATTTCAGATATAAAATGGAAATTAGTAGCCTTGCTAACTTTAATGAGTATGATGTGGCATTCTCAAGCCAAGAAGGACAGCACTCCAAAGTGCCACCAGATTTTTAGTAGTTAATCAAATTACTAAACTAGTTCAGAATGGAGGAGAAAGAGATCATGAAACTTTGAGATTTTAATGAAAGCAGACACTGCAAGATTTGTTTTACATGAGCACACATGAATAGGCAAAGAGAATTTAGGCTGGCAAACTGACACATTCAAAGAAATTTCAGTGTTTGTCAATGTTAAGTTAGACAAATTATACAACTGCCCCTACACATCGGCCATTTACTGTGGCAAATAGAACATTCTTCTAAAGGAAGTGAAGAGGAAAATACAAACATTGAAATGTGGATTCCTAACACAATTTTTAGCTGCCATCAAATACAGTTTTACAAGAAAAAACATGTCTAATGATTTGCTTGCTATGTAAATGTTTGTCAAAGGCTTGTGCAGTTAGGAAAACAACATGATGCATGAAGAGGGAAAGTGTTTTCCTGGGAGGAATGACAAGCGGAGGATTTTAGATATAGTGATTTTAAATTACTGCTTTTCTGAGGCTCAAATAGAACAACAACTTTGAAAACAGCCAAAGACTTACTGGGGGCTAGGGAATTGCCACAGCTTTTCCTGCAAACCGCCTAGACAAACCCCCACTGATAACTTTTTCACTGGAATATTCACATCTTGTTTCTATCAGAACAGCTACAAATTACCTTCTGGACTCATTTCTTATACTGTAAAGGAAAAATTAACAGAAGGACAAGAGGACAATTTACCTATAAGGGGTAAGGGTTTGAGCTTTATTAGCTATGTTTCTAAAAGTCAAATGAAAGACTCTACACAGGATATTCTGGGTAACTGCCCAATTTGACAGACTTGACTCTGAGGTCTTCCAAAGAGCTGAAAGATCTCATCTATGAATTTATCTATTTTCAAGCCAGGCACACAGTCTCAAGGTACCTAATGTCAGAACAAATAGCTATTCTTTACATTCATTATGAGGCAGTTGTTACTGAGGAAATGGAAAATAAAAATAAAAATAATATTACAAGAATGTAACGTGCAATGAATCTACTTTATCCAGTAAGTGACTGCCAACCCTGCGAGTGCAGTATATATCTTCTCACCTCCCAGTCTCCTTCCGTATCTCATATGTTCACCTCATTCCTCCTCTGCAAGGACTTTACTTTAGGTCACATCTCCTCTTGAATCTTCTTTTTCTCATCTTAATGCTTAAGGAGTAGACTTTGCTGGGTGGAGCATTCTCCATTTGAGTTGGATGAGTGAGTGATGAAGGTTTTGCTAGTTTTTGGGTCGAAAGAACACAATCCTTGAAGTACAGGTGATTTGAGTGCTCATTTGAAAGCAAAGAAACCAGTTGTTTGCTCCCAGGGTTGTTTATATACTTTATCCAATGCCTCTTGTAGCACAAAGTTCTGAGAACAAGGATGACAACATCACTGGTTGCCCCAAGCGTTAGATACATGTCCCTGCTACTTCTCTCTCTTTGCTTTCATTTCACTACCAAGTAGACTTCGAATTTCTCCAGGCAGAGAAGCAAAGCTTTCTAGCAGACATGGAGGTTACCCTTTGCAAAGTAAATTAAAAGGTTATGGAAGAATGCAATGGTCTATACTCTTATCAGGCACAATTTCGGCCTGTGCTAGTCAGGAGTCTCCTGATTCTCAGACACAGCTAAGCTATTCAACAGTCCAGGAATCATTCCAGGCACACAGCTGGGACACCATCACCCTGTTAAAACAGGGTTTACTGAGTAAGGTTTTAGTGGCATAGGTATGGGCCATTGTGTATTACTTGGTCCTGGTGTTCAAGAACATGGCTGAGGGCTGTTTGATTTGCTAGGCAAGACACGGCTGGAAGCTGCTTTCCACCTAGCCTACTAAGATCAATAGCCTTGTGGTTCAACATGCTTGCGAGAGCAACAGATGTCGATCTCTGCAAGCTGAGAAGCAAACAGAGTAGAGACCTTCTCCTTCCCACATGCCAAATTGGCCATCACATAAAACGATGTCCCTGCTCCTCTTCCTCCTTTAGATGGGTTTTGAAAGGGAAAGCCTTGGGCAGTTCAGTGCAGGATAGTTTACAAGTATCTCTCTGCAGGATATCAGAAGGTTGATAAATGGAGATGCTTCAATGCATCTGAAATAAGGCACTCACACTAGAAGGCCCAGGGGTTGAAATCTGTTCTCTGCATAACTTTTTGGAAGCTGCGTGCTAATCACTTTGACTTTGAGTTTGAATTAGTGAGCCCAATGTATTAGGAGCTGGGAATTGTCATCTGAGGGAGTCCAAATTTCCATAAAACTCATATAAAGCATTAATTATAGGTGTCTGTATCTCACTCTGGAAGGACAGGACTTACATGTTAAGTGCCATACTACATGATTTCTGGCCCTAAATGTTAAAACATTGTCATTTAACGCCCTCATAGATCTCTGCTTCCTTGAAAAGAACCATAAAAATTTCCTTGATAAATGTCTAAGACCGGTACTGATACTTAAATTCTGTAAAGTTTTTATATCCAACACATACCAACATCCTTCATCAGGTATATAAATGTAATATATCAGTTAGAGTTCTGGGTAGGTATGTAGGCAGAAGTTGAAATCTGAAAGCAAAATAATACAATCCCTGCTAGAGTCAACCACAAAGTTTGTGTTGATTACCTGTTGTGTTAATCTGGTAATCAATTTAGCCTATTGATTAAATCTTAATTGTAAAGTAAATTTGGTCCTTGCAGTGTTATGTCTTTAATTTGTTTTCTTCAAGAACCTATTCCTTTGCTCACTCTTTTTATTGAAATCCAGGAAAAAATTAGTCAACCCAGTTTATGCTGCTTTAGTCAAGTCACAACATGGATCATAAACTCTAAAGACACAGGTAACCTCTGCTAAAAAAAATCCTGCCCACTAGGTTCTGTTTCCAAATGAAATGTAAGTTCCCAAGAGTTTCTTTGTACTTGTTAAAAATGAACTACTCTTATTACCATAGCGACAGTGTATAAATATACAAAAATATTTTTTGTCAATGTTTTATTTCCATTTTGTAGTGCATGGGGGGCTTTGTGAGTTATGCACAGTTTCTCAGCAACTTCGGCTGTTTTCAGATGAATATATTTTTAAAACATTTAAATGCGTTACATTTGTAGACAATTACATTTTAAATCTAAGCATATGGTTCTATTGTGTTAAATCCTTCAATAATTCTTTGAATATTTCTTATCTTTGAGTTAATGTCACAAATGTTTTCACTTATTACCATATTCCATAAAAATATTCTCCCAAGTGTAATTTTGATTGTATTTCACTTCCTGCTCTAACTTACAAAATCAATATATAATTTTTCATGTCCCTTCTTATTTCAACAAATGTCAGCAGTAATGCATGCAGATTTCTTTTTTTGTTTTAATAATATCTCTATTTTTAATTTTCATTACATTCCTTCTTGGCAGTAAACCAAATAGCTTATACAATATTTGGAGAATCATTACTGTCATTCATATCACATGTTTTTAACTAAGAAAAAAGCAGCTTTCGTTGAAGCAATTCAGCCAGAGGATAAAAGTTCATTTTATTTGGTTTTGAATTCACTGTACCTAACCTTAGCCCTCTTTTCATTTACCGTAAGTACTGCAGCGCTGGGTTCACCCCATTCTCTGACTGTGGTTTTCTTCTGGCTTCTTGCATGCCATTTGCGCAGTGTAACGCACTGAGTATGGCATAAACCTTTTTGCTCAGCAGCAGGTACTAGGAAGGGTACTATCATAACACCAGCGTGTCTTGAATATTTCTACATCATCTAACAGTCCTCTTTTGTGTTATCCAGCAAGTAACTGTTCTTCTGACCCGCTAGCTCTCCGGTAGTCAGTAAACCTATGTTTGTGTACATTGAAGCATTCACTGGATACTGTTTTACAGGTTCTGCCAGGCAAAGCAGGTACATAAGCGAATCCCCAAATCTGGAGCTGCAGGCCCCAAAAGACGCTCACAGGCCCCCTCTGGCTCAGCACAGGGGAGTGAGCTTTGTGTGCTATGATGTAATGTACTGGAAGAGGCACTACAGGCCTGGCTGGTCTCCAGCCACCGCATCCTTAAGTACTTTTACAAAAACACTTTTACAAGACTCTACCTAATCAGCTCTGACTACGAGTGATGGATGATGTGACATTCAGCATGGGACTGATAGAGCAGGCTGCTGCTTTACCTGCTTACATACTATGTAATGTTAAAAAAAATTAAAATAAACCAGTTTTGGATATTGGGCATCACCACCTAGTTAGGAACTCCCAAATGGGGGTCAGCAGAATCTGTACATCTCCACTGACCTTTCAAGGCTCTGGATCCCCCAGTTATTTTGCAAATAATCCCAGCTCACCTCCCACAACCTGCTCACACTTTCTACTGAGGGCTGGGCTTTGGCTGTCTGCCAGCACGTCACCTCTCTGGCTGAGCTTCACACTTCAGCGTAGCAAACTGAAGACCAAGCTACAAGCTAGACACTATCAATAATGCTATGAAAGAAATTTTTGTGGGCCTAAACTATTTCTGCTTTTCTTGCATTGTGGAAATACCGACAACAGGACAGCTCTTAAATTAGTTCCTCCTGCCAGCTGACCCCTTCCTTGGAGGAGTGGGAGGGAGCTTACTACCTGCAGCTCTGGAAGCACAAGAGAGAGCCTCTGGATGTGCCAGTACCACTCCATCTGTCTTCCTCCCCGCCTTGCTGACCAGTCTGCTTCCCATAAAAGCCATGCCTTTTCCATACTATTATTTGTACAATGGAGTAAAGTCAGTGGCATACATGGGGACACTCGTCATCCACCCTGCAATACCTGGGCAAGCCCAAATTTCACTCAGAAAGCAGGCCATTCACAATTTTGCCAGCATTCCTCTGCTGCTTTGCAGATTGTCACATTCTGTCTCCCACTATACAGAAAATGATTTATTTTTTTTCTTACTTATCGCCAACAAAGATTGGCTAAAAAAGTGTGCTAAGGGTCTTGTTCCCCTTCTTGTTTGACCTCTGGACCAGAGGAAAATCTTATGATGACTTCTGACAGGAACAGCCTGTCCTGTCTACCCCTACCTGCTCCTGGTTGCATGTTCCCACCACCTCCTGTTCCCTGGTGCTTGGCAGACCAGCACTGAGCTCATGAAGGAAACTAAACTGGCAGAAAACTATTGTTGCAGAGTGACTATCCTGTGCTAGTGCTCGCATGACAACGGGGATGTGACTGTGGAGTCGGAGAAGAGGGGCCAGACCAGTTTATCAGGTGCCAGCTCACCATCAGGTCAGCTTGGCCTTAAGGAGAAACCTAACCTTCACTGAGCAGCCTGGTAACACAGCAATTAATTAAAGAATAAAACATCTATTGGGGGCCTGTGAATACTCCTAATTAATTAACAGTTTTGCTTCCTGCCTTAAAGTCTCTTAACAAACCAAGCTTACAGTATAACTTTTAACACAAAAGCTTCTATACCCTGCAGCCTCAGCCCAGGTCTTTCACGTACTGCATGGCCAGACACAGCAAAATACCTTGATTGGTACAGCACAGGCTTACCCTACTGGGATCCCTTTTTTTGTTACAGGTGAGCCAGGCAGCTGCTGTTCCTTGCTGTCAGGGCCAGCTGGTGAAGGCCACCTCACCCTTACGATGCCCTCCCATTGCACTGGCAAAGCAATCTGTGGGTTGTGTGGACATTTGCAATAGGGAACTTGCCTGCTCCTTTTTCGCCAGGTTATTTTTCAGCTGGAGCCGTGCCTCAGCTTGGTTCACTGCAAATGCTGGTGTGGGCCCAAGAGCAGAAGAAACCAGAGGGGCAGGAAAAAGCAGGCACAGAGAGGGGGGTCTCGGACTGCTCCAGCCCTAAATCTAACCACAGCCACACATTTGACCAAGTGCTCCAGGCCCTGCAAGCACGAGCACGAAGCACAAAAATGCTCTCCCAACACCAAGAACACAACAGAAGAACACATCAATAAAAACTGAGGGTACAGCGGGTTTTTTTTCCTGACAGCATATTGTGTGCAGGTGCTGATGCAGCCATATTTCATACGCAATGCTTTTGCAATACAGGTATTGAGTGTTCCTGGCCAGTAAGAATTTGCCTCTGAGGTTTACTGTGTGATCATTCTGGAAACAACAAAATGGATGGGCTACGCCAGGGCTTTTTATCAGAATTTTGGCTGAAGTGTAATGAAGCTGGCATCTTACCTCAGCAATTTTGAATTTGAACAATGTACATACTAGAGCCTGTGAAAGAATAGGCAGCATGTAATGCCGTGCAAAAGATGAGGAAAACATTAGCAGACCTCCCTTTCATTTCTCCAACCTCCCAGAATCACTACTTGGAAAAAATCTACTAAAGGAATACACAGCATTGCACCAGTTTGGTGGATGTGCCATGTCCAAGATGATGATTTTACAGTGTACAATGCTATATGTAAGCAAAGTTCATTCCTCTTACAAACTCTGTATCATTTATCCACAGAAAACTTGGAAAAACCTATGAAACAAATAGGAGAAGAAACCATCTAACTCCCAGACTACCCATTGTAGAATCCTTTTTCCTTGAAAATAACCAACAGAAAACCACTACAGATGTCACTTTTTAACAGAGCCCTGTCTTTATGCAAATGAAACTTCCGTTTCCCTGAGATGCCTGTTCTCCATGGAGTTCCTGGATGCACTCAACGGAAATCAAGTCAAGAACAATATCTGAATAATTTGTGTCAACTGTCTTAAAAAAAAAATCTATATAAAAATCTAGGTGAAGTGAACTGGCATAAGTAGGGGATATTTATGGGTGTTAAGGGGATAAATATGGGTGTTAAGATGAATAAGTCAGGTTGGTCCAGTAGATGTATGATGAGCTAATAGCTGAAGGCATAAAAATTGATAACCTAGAAGTAAGTCAGTGAGTGTCCTATGCTACCAGAGTGATAAAAGATGTAGAAAGGAGTTCAAAGACAGCTGCAGACAAGTTGGTTTTGGCCTTGCTTTTTACTAAGGAATATACAGGCTCTTTTGGGGCTACAAAGATGAAGAAATTGCTGGAGAGCAGAGTAACAAAAATCTAGACCATGAAATAAATTGGAAAAATTGCAGAGAAAATTAGCACTGAAATGATAGCACATTCACTAATCTATTTAAAGACATATTTTACTAATTCTTTCAGGACTTTTCTGGACTTTTTCTCGCAACACGGTGCCACACAGACATCCCTGTTGTTATAGCCTGGGTTAGGAGTTACCACCCTAAAGCTATTGAGCTTCCAGGCAGGTCAGGTGCTACAAGCTCTGTCCTGGCTGAGCATGGGATAAAGCAAGTCAGCAGGAGCTCTGTGGCCAATGCCATCCTGGGACCCGGCTGCGCTCCTGGTCTAGCCCTTCCCACAGTGAAGCAGAGGGACACTGGAGATACACTGTCATCTCCTGTCTACAAACTGAAGGTAAAGCCATAAAGGAGAATAGGGAGCTTGCAATGCTACTTGGATTAGCAAGTCACATTAAAGATTATGAGAATGTTTAGTTTTTAACACAGCCTGAGATAGAGGTGAATCACTGGCTATTTTAATGGATAAGTAAATGGATGGATAGTTGATTATCCCTAAGAAGCACCTCAGAAACAAGAGATGGTCCAAAGCAATAAGGTGTGCAGACAATACTCATAAATAAAATAGCAGAGCAAAAGGAGCATTTATAAATTAGCTGACACATACCCTACAGAATTATGAAAGCACCAGAATGGCAAAACAAGAAAATGCTGACCCTTTCTGTGTACCAGGAAACCAAGGAGTGTGTCAAACACACCACCTCCATGCAGTTCCCTTTCACAGCAAGATGTTTCCCTGCACGCAGTTAGTGCTTTATCACACTAAAAATACAACATGATAAATGCTTTCTTTCAGCGAGACGTAGGAACGCTTGTGAGTATTGACCGGTTCCTCCATGTATCTGCTGCACTGAAAAGCTCTGTGGGTTTGTCCACACGTCTCTCACCCGGAGGAGGTCCCCATGCCCAGCTCACCCCGCTCCTGGCTAAGATCCCTGGCTGTGGATACCACTCTCACGTGTCATTGCAGCAGTCAAATAAGCTGTCCCCTGTTAGCTGGAACGGGCAGCGTTGCCAGCCCGGACCATGCAGGGTGGGAGTCTCTCACAGTCAGTGGGAAGGGTCTTCAGCCCCTCACAGATGAAACCGCTGCCATTTGCACTGCCTTTGTGGGCAGCGTCTGTAGCCAACTGCACTTCTGCTAGGCAGCAACTTTGAAATGTTTACTGGTGGAGGCGAGGAAAGGGCTGACAACAGCTGTGTGAATCATTCATCACGAAAAGCACAAGCGCTGCTTTTATTCCTCCTTTCAAGTTAGGTGACAGCTCTAATTCCTCAAGCTCTATTTTTTCATGATTCTGGTGAATTTTTATGCATATGGCTGTCACAAACATTACTGCAAAGATCTATATTTAATATTGAAAATTCAGGTCAGGAGTATCACAAAGGCTGTGTGGGTCTGTCTCTCGTTCTTGACAGGGACGGCATTTTATGCATTTTCAGGCATGCAGGTGCATTAATGCCAGACAATTCATCTTTTTAACAAGCCAGTGTTCAAACTGAGTTTGATTAGATTAATCAACCAGCAGCTTAACAGGAGCTTGCCTTGGATTTGTGTTTCACAGACAGCAACAAGCTGTCCTCTCCGGCCAAGTGCCCTGCGACCCACCGAGGAGGCTGCTGCCAGACCTCTGGCTTGGTGCCCAAAGCCCATCCCAAGGAGAAGCCTTGCACTGAGGGAAGCAGAGGGAAAGCTCAGGCACCCAGTTGCAGCTGAATGGCTCTGCTCATCCACATCCCGCAGCCCTGGCAGGCCCAAAAGCCTCAGCCCAGGCAGGGAGCTCTTGGTAGCTGTGAGGCGCCATTTTGGGGGAGCCTAGCAGAAAGCCTGTCCTTCTGAAGGAGATTGGTGCAGGAGGGAGATGGAGGACTGAATATTTTCTTCTGTGAAATGTTATTTTTAAACAGTGGCCTTTTCTTTCCCTGTCACCACATTTGCTTCAGTCACAGAGGCAGTGGGTGGAGCTGAGGGAGCCCCGCAGGGCCTGAGAGAGCTTTGACCAACCCACACGGGGCAGTGGACAACCATGCCCTCCCAGCCCTCTGTGTCTCACCAGTGGAGTTATCCTTTATATTAACGACCTTCTCAGATTGATGTTTCCTTCCAGTTTCTTATGCAAGTTCCCCCTGATCCCCACACGCTATTTTTTCAGTCAACTATAAGAATGAAGCTGGAAGAAACATAGCACTGAACTGTGGGTCAAATTAACAGTCTACTGATAAGTAGTTCTTTCCAATTTGCTATGGCATTATAAGCAGTGGTCTTGTATAGTCATGTTTATGAATTCTAGAGAATTCCCTTTGTACTGAGCGCATGCCACTCTGCACATCACCTAGCAGGTTTAAGTGTGCAGTGTGAAGCTTTGGAGCTTACCACTGCTTCACTGATGGAGGCCTTTGCCAGCACAGCACAGTGGTGCTGGAACAATTTGCTTGTACAGTGTAACCTCCAGACAGCTGCTGCAGTTGCACCCTGAAATGAAGGAAGGAATAAGCAGCTGAAGAAGATGGGAACACTTCTCAAGCGTTATTCCTGAAACAGTGATACACTAAAACACAACTTTGAACGCTGATGCTCGTATTTGGAATTGCAGGAATTGCACGTAGGAGTTGTAGTTAAAGGATCAAGCTGCAACCCAACCTGGAATGACTGAGGCTGTGAAGCAATGCCATATTTGTATTAAGATAAAATGCAGCACATACAACAGCAACAATTTCAACAGAGACTCCAGTTTTGTTTGACCACACCTGTTGTCAGTTACAAAGGAGTATGATCTAGAAGTCCTAATGGCACTTGTGTCTCTTACTGCTTTCTTGGATATACCAAAAATGAATATGCATCTTGAACATGCAACAAACTCACTTTTATATCCTGTAGCTTTCATTTTTAAGTGAAGGCAAAAACAGTTTTGGGTTTTTTCCCATTTCTGTGAATTGAGGTTTCAAAAACCTTTGACGGGACAATCAATGAACTTAGCCACTTCAGCATTCAGGGGAGTCAGGGTGTTCACTTGTTCCCTTGTCTGATGTTACAAATCTAGAATTTCGTATTGGCTTTCATGGAAACAGTGACTTGGTAATCTGGCCTACTGTGGCTGATGAGCAGTTATTTGAGTGTATTCTTGACATCTCAGAAAAAAAGGTTCCCCACATGAAACTCCTGAAAACAGTGAATGAGAATTAAATTTTTCTTCTTCAGTAATCACTCATATATGTATCATTTTCAGCACTGTTTTATTCTACTTTCCCATTTACCTAAAGCAGTGCTACCTTCTGGGTTTCGAACAACTCATACTAGATAAATACAACTACAACTGAATGGAGCAAACAAACCTAGTTTTAAGGGGACATTGCTCAGACTATAGTGAAGCATGAAAACAAAACAGTCGCTCTCCCTGCACATGGAAAGAGTTATTAAAATGGTAAACCACAACACTGCAGACAACATAATGTTATAGCATGCCTTAGGCCAGTCTTGTACTATCTGAGCAAGAAAAGTACCTGATGACAGCACTCTGGAATGTGTCTTTTGCAAGGAGTGCTGACCTGATAGTGCACTCATTAACTCTGAAAACTCCATAATGTGAATGTTGACAGGTAGGATTTTAACTACAGGTAAGACATGTTTTCTTCTGAAAGGTTACAGTTCTCTGGGAAAATAATCACGAGTCATTGCCTGCAAGTCTTCTAGCATATTGAAACTGTTGGAGGGAGTTAAGTTGAATTAATGTGTAGCTGATACAAATTTGAGGAAAAAAGTCATCAGCTGCAAATCAACACTCTTGATGCTTTCTCTTTAAAACCTCTAACCAGTTCTAGTCACATCACAAGAACATGACAAACAATGTTACGTGAGAAAACACACTGAGAAAACAGAGTTAAATGAGGAAAAACAAGAGACCAAAATCAACTGGTTCTGGTAACCTAGAAACCCTGCACAAGACAATGTCCTGTCCACACCGCTATACCTGCCATGGTTATAGGCTCTACAGTGCTGCTTGCATCAGGGATGATTTTCTTGTTTGGGGTTCCCTTACAGCTTGCCAGTAGAGAATGAAGGAAACATCTGTCTTCTATTTTTAAAAGATTAAAACAGAAATAGAAACAATTTCTCCCTGTGACAGTTCAGCCACTTTCCTGATGCCAGTTTTAATTAGCCAACAAACAGAATATGATTAGAAACATATAGCTGTTCCTCACAGCCTGATAACAAACAGCGGTGGCTCCAATCCAGCAACATTCGAACATCACTAGATGGATGCCAAAATGTTAAGGGACTGGCTTAAAGGCATAAGTTTCCATTTTCATTTTTTTTAAATCTCATCTTGGAGGTTTAATTCCTCAAAAGGAATCTCATGTTTGCTTCAGGGATTCAATATGAAATGCCTAACATTCACAGTGGACATCCTTCCTTCCATTTTATCAAGCGTCTTCCTCAATATCTCCCCTTATCCTCCTGAGCACTCTCTTACACTTTTACTTTGAGGGGCACATCACAGTTCATCGTCCGCAAACAGTTCATTGCCTGGCACTCATCAACCAACTCATGCCAGAGCAACACACTGCCTTTACACCAGTGTCCTCCCTGCACCTTGCTTTTCCTCATTCTCTCTTGCAGATGAGCTCAGTTCTGCGATGCTCTCTCTGTGCCTGGGAACACTGGCAAAACCACTGTCTTTGTTGACACTCTAATTGATGGATGCTCTTTTTTTCTGGATTCCTGTTCTTCACCTCCAATGGCTCAGTTTTTGCACCTGCCTTCTCCAATTCAGGACATGCATCACTTCAACCATCCTACTCTCTCCTCTGTGCTAGCAGTAGACAGGACTGAGGTCCTAGCTGCTGAGTCTCCCAGCAACACTCTCTGCAATCTAGATGGCCCATCAAGTGGGGAAAGGCTTCCTCTGCACATCCTCTGTGGGCTGACTTCAGCCCACACCTTTCCCTCATATCCAGGATGTAGTTTAAGAACTACTGACCTCAAAAGTCATATATCTGTGTTCCTGGACACAGTCCTATGTTGCTATTTTGCATCCCTCTCTGAACACCAGCTCTTAGGATGCAAAGGTAGAGGTGTCTTCAGTCCCCAGTAGCTTTTTTTTCCTTGTTCCTTGCTTACATGTGGCTTTGAAAAGGGAAAAAGGAGATTATGTAGAATCAAGTGAAATGTTGGTAGTCATGAGAATCTGACCACACAAAAAGACACCTAAAAGGTCTGAGGTGTCTACAGAAGTCCGCTGTACACAGACTATTTATTTCACCCATGCAGATACCAGCATTTAGCCTGAATGTATTATCTACCTAGTACTATGCAGTGCTTAAAAATACAATTAAGTAAGTACCTGGCTCAAATCATTTATACTCAGGATCTTCTACACTGAAGTGTAAGCCAGACTTCTGCGTCAGGACAGCAAAATCAGCCATGACCTTCTGGTAACAGGTAGTTGTTATTTTTATCACTGATGTGATGACAGGTAAGCAGAGGCATAAAAGTCTACTAGTGATTTCATCAGTCTCACTTGTAGCAGGGGCAAGGCATTTTCTCTGTTACCGCTGTGAAGGCCTCAGGAAGGCCCCTGTGTGTGATCTGTAGCACAGTCCCAAAGAAAAGTGAGAAGCAGGGCGGCTCTGCTCCTTTACGGCTAGTGACCTGCAACTGATTGCATCTCAGTCCTCAAGCAACTTGCTGAGCATAGGCTAGGAATGGGATGCCAAGAAACAAGGACATTTACCAATGTTATTTCACTTCTTCATGTGATCCCCACATAATTCTGCATGACTACTGTTCTCAGTTGTACTTTTCATTTGCATGTGCTGAATCTAAGTGCCATCCATCCCTTCTCTTAGGCTAGGAACTCTTCAAGTGCCTGGGTGGACAGTATATCGAAAACAGAGAAAAACAGTGCCAAGCAAGACATACGTGTAATTTTAGTGTGGTGGCCAAGAGCCTTTAGACCTTTCCACCAACTTTGACTTCAATCACCTTCCATGTTGCAGTGTTGGCAGATGTGCACATTTGCATCTGCTGTTTCAGAAAGTGCAGAAAATC